CATGCTGTTCTGCAGTTTTTCCTCCAGGTCAGACAGGGAGCCCTCCACCGAGCCGAAGCCTGCAAGCAACCCATCCACGTCGGCCTTCACTCCCAGTGCCGTGTCCCTGTGAATGTGCAAACAGTGTGTGATAATTATGACTACAAAGACATAAGAGAGCACTGAAACTCATCAGAACCAGAATCAGAGGAAGGAACTTCAGAAAGACCACAGCATTTTGTTTCTGTTCTGGTAGACTCGTCTAATCTGCTAACATCGAGAGGGCGGGGTTTATGACCATGCTGCAGTCATCCACTAGGGGGCAATTGAGATGTTTTGGCTTCACTACTGGGGAACTGTTGTATTGTCCATCTTTATATATGAGGCACACACGCACACACACACACACACACACACACACTGTGTCATTTCCGTTTTGATGAGCCATGTTTTTCAAAATAAAAATAAAAGATAAAGATAAAGATAGTAAGTAGCTATCTCAAGTGGAAACTCACAATAAGGCTGTCCTTTCAAAATAAAAGCCCCCTAGAGTAGTTGTATCACAGGAAACTAGGGAAGGACATCATTTTTTCATCCAGGCCTTTTTAAATATTGTGAATGTGCAAATCTGATAACTGTTTGAGAAAGCACCATCAAGTATCAGTTAGAATAGTCTGGTCCTAGAGTGTAAAGGCCCACCTGGCATCCTCGGCTTCCTGCAGCAGCTTCCTGGCTGCATCCAGCTGTGGCTCTGCCTCGTTCAGCACCGCTGTGCTGTCTGGCAAATTAGCTGCCAGATTCTTCAGCTCATCCAGCTTCCTCTTTAGAGCAGCCAGACTAAGAGGCAGTTTGGCTTTCAGGATCCAGTCGCTCACCTCCTGGATGTGGGTCAGGTTAGAGGACGGGTCTGCACAGAAAGAAACAGGAAACATTGGTGGTAAAATTGATTTATCGATTCAAAAATCAGCCATTATTACTGAAACCAAGTGAACATTCCTGCCATATATCAATCCAATCATACATCTACCCTCTGCACTAAAACAATCTTTACCTGACAGGAAGTCTTTGAGCTCTTTCACAACATCACGAGTCTCCTTTAAGTCATTTTCTAGCTCGTCTCTGGTCGCCTTCATCTTTTTGGAGAGCTTCTCTGCAGATTGTCTCACCTGATTGGTTGTCTCCTGTGTCTCCTGGAGCTGTGAGGAGTTGAAATTAATTTAAATCATGCTTTAGAATCTATAACATTCTTTAAAATTTTTTAATTTAGCATGCAGCAGAAGTGAGTGTGAGTGAGTGTGTCTGCACCTTCTCTGCAGCCTCTGTGATCTTCCCACTGAGCCCTTCCAGCCGCTCTTTCACATCCTTAGTGTCCGTGTCAGCCCTCTTGCTCAGAGGCAGGGCACCCACGCACCTCTCCCCCTTTTTGCAAGGTGGGCTTCCCTCTGGTGGACACAGATCTCCACCCTCACACTGGAAAGGGGTGCAGGGATCTGAGCGGACACTGCCACATACCTGTAAAGTCACAGTGTGGTGATTTAAAGGGCAAATACAGGAGCTAATGGTCCCATTGAACAAAAGTAATACAATTCTCAATGTAATAATATCTCAATAACTTCTGACCAGATTGCCTCAAAATCTGCAATGTATTTTTTTATGATTTGAGCTTCCCTGTAGCGCAGAGATGCCCAACCTCTTCCATTGGAGAGCCCAAACAGAAACAGCAGTAGGACATTTTTATTAAAATAACTTTTTGTCATATTTGTTGAAACTTTCACTATATCCTGACAGCAGTACATGAAACAGATAATCTTTAAAAAGAAATCAGGTTCCTCTGGCTCTTCTTAGTGCTCCTAATGGCATCTACCGTGCCCGAACAAATAAGCAACTTTTGTATTGTATTGTATTGTTAAAATGCAAAGTGGTACTAGAATTCCCTGTTCCCCTCTACAAACTTACAAACTAATTTTCTAAATGGGACGATTCATTGGTAAATGGTAAATGGACTGTCGCCTTAACGCCTTTCTAGTCTTTCGACCACTCAATGCGCCTACATGCCACACTCCATTCACACACATTCATACACCGATGGCAGTGGCTGCCATGCAAGGTGCCAACTGCTCACCAGAACAGAAACTAAGCATTCACACACCCTCATAGGGAGCAATTTAGGGTTCAGTATCTTGCTCAAGGACACTTTGACATGTAGCGAGAGGAGCCTTCTGATTCATGGACGACCCGCTCTACCTCTGAGCCACATCTGCCCAATTAGCGGTGGCACAGATGCATACAGTATGACGTAAACAGATAAACGGACATTAACAGAAACTGATTTGCTAAAGGTGACCTACCTGTTTGGCAGCAGGTGTGAGGTCAGGTCGGGAAGCCATGCTCTGGTTCAGTTTGTCCAGGTCTCTGGTGTTGGCTGGTTGTACTCGGTTCTGAAGGTCCAAAGTGTCCTCTCTGACATTAGCGGACTCCTTCACCGTGTTCCCGGTGGCATCGACCTTCTTAGCCGCGTCTGTAGACTCATCGTAGGCGTGCTTGATGGCAGCAAACGCTCCTGAATAGGACAGAAACAAAATATTCAACATATATTTCCTGCTGTCGCCAAATCAGAATGTAGTTCTGCTCAAACCCAGTGTATGATTATGCCCTATTTCAAGTTTTATTAGTAGCTTAATGTTGTAATTAATTTAACACTTGTAATCAATCATCACCAAAACTGTCTCTGTTTCTGACCTGCATTGTTAGGATTGACAGGATTCTTCGTTGCATCTTTCTTGGCTTTGTACTCTACAGTGAGGCGGTCAAGCAGATCCCGTAGTTTGTCTAGCTCCAAGTCCAGACCAGGAATCCTTTCCAGAGGTGGAAGGTTATTGTTAACCATGTCCACCTGGTCCCTGTAAGACAGAAACCAGAGTGGTTCAGTTACACTGAGTGAGGTTCCATCCAAGAGTGGGAAGAGAGTGAAAGACTTACATTCAGGAATGTCATCCACAAACATCCAATGATCATGGAAATAGCAGATTTTCATTTTAAAAGAATAAAATTTGTAATTAAAATCCAAATTCTCTGTTGTCCCTCACCTGAGCTTGTCCAGCTGGGAGAGAGCATTATCAATCTGTCCGCCAATACTGGGTGGACGGGAGATAGAGTTGCGGATCAGGTTCAGGCTGTCCTCCAGGGCAAGGATGCGAGGCCCCAAATTTCCAAGATTAACTCCGGTACCAGTAGGGAAGCTGAGCCTCTCCAGGGCTAAGCTCATGTTCTGTCTCCAGGCGTCTAGGGTGAAGAAGCAGGATGGACATGTCTCGCAGGCAGGGAAGGAGTCACAGTGTCCCTGGCTGCAGGAGTCGCAGCGGGCCCCGCTGACCCCTGGCCGGCACAAGCAGGTTCCTCTCTGCTTGTCGCAGACTTCTGGAAGGGTTCCTTCAGCATCACACCGGCACGCTGTGGAGGAAGAGACGAGAAGAAATATTATTTATGTAGAACCTTCCATACAAACACTGTGTTTCACAGATCAGGATTAAAAATAGACAACAAGACAAATAAAAGACAATAAAATAAATAAACACAATGAATAAAAAAGTATGAAAACCAGTGTATAAAAACCAATCATCAATTGGCTCTTGCTCATAATTAAGCAATACCTCTAATTTTAACTGTGAACATATTAGAAAGACTTCATTTAGAGTTATTTGGACACTGTTATTGTGTTAAGGAATTAATAAGTGCTTCATAATAACTAATCAAGAGCTAATATTCGACTAATATGCATGCTAATAAGAAACTAGATGGTGAATATGTGTACTTTAATATAAAGTGTTGCCCTTTACTAAAATGGCAAATACTTTTACCACAACTCAGACAGCAAACTAAACTACAACCTCGGATGAGCCATGACTGCATCTCAACAATCCAACAAATCAGAGAGTGCTGACTTACGTTGGCAACCTATGAGAGGGTTTCCGTATGTGTTTTTGGGGCACTCGGTACATGTACGGCCTCCAAAGCCTGGTCTGCACTGACACTGACCTGTTACCTGAAAGGAAGAAGACAGAACATGTTGTACACAACTGTATTTTCATTCATAAATTCATAAATGTTAATAACAGCTAGCTGCTTAACAGCCCAGCATACTGGACTTAATAAAGTTTGTCCTCATTGTCATATTTTATCACCAGTTTACAAAGCAGCCCCCTCAACATTCTTACATGAGATTACTAAATATGTTTGTGAATTACTAGAATTTATTTTAGAGTACTGAAATTTAATTTAACATTTTTGTTTTGTTAATGGAACACTCTCGTATTGTAGATGGAACAATGGAACACTCTCGTATTTCGCAGAGTCAGTTGATAAAATTAAAACATTAAAACATTTTGGGCTGAATATTTTCAGGGGATTAACAAAGGATTCATTTGCAACCGTTTTATAATTAACAAATCAATGAATTTATTAAGATTATATATATGTGAGATTTAAAACATTAATATAGCAGCAAAAAACTATTTGCTATGTAAAGATACAGTGGAACTCCCTTTATTTTGCTTTCGCAGCCTCTCTGTGGTTTGTTTCCATAGCCGGTC